GTTATGGCAAACACGGTGACAAATACGACAACACTTATGATGATTACAGATTCGGATACGACAAATTCCGTGGACATCGTGCAGACAGATACGATAACCGTTACGATGTGGATCATTATGACAACTACGGGAAATATGATGACAAATATCATCAAGACAAATATGACCGATTGTACGAACACAAGGATAGGTATGGTGACCGATTCACCCGTTATGGCAAACACGGTGACAAATACGACAACACTTATGATGATTACAGATTCGGATACGACAAATTCCGTGGACATCGTGCAGACAGATACGATAACCGTTACGATGTGGATCATTATGACAACTACGGGAAATATGATGACAAATATCATCAAGACAAATATGACCGATTGTACGAACACAAGGATAGGTATGGTGACCGATTCACCCGTTATGGCAAACACGGTGACAAATACGACAACACTTATGATGATTACAGATTCGGATACGACAAATTCCGTGGACATCGTGCAGACAGATACGATAACCGTTACGATGTGGATCATTATGACAACTACGGGAAATATGATGACAAATATCATCAAGACAAATATGACCGATTGTACGAACACAAGGATAGGTATGGTGACCGATTCACCCGTTCTGGCAAATACGGTGACAAATACGACGACAGTTACTATAATAGGTACGATGATCGAAAATTGTATAAATTCGGAGATCGATACGATGAAAAGTACGACGACCGGAAATTGTACAACTCTGATTACAAATATGATGACAAAGAGAATCTGCACGACCACGGCTACGCTAGCGACTACAGTGACAATTATCAGAGCACATATTAAATTAGATAATGTGCATAATATAATTCCATTTCTCCTCAAATTTTTTTCTGTGATAGTGTGAATCTGGGAGTGGGTAATCTAAAACTAGAGCAGCTCTATAGTTAATTTCGACCGAATGCGGTGCTGTGTAATTGGATCATAGTCAAGACAATTATAAAGTCATGGAGCTAATAAATGATATGTGCTGGGTATACGAACCAATGACCGTATGGAAATACTATTTTAGTTAGAATGGCAGCTATTCCAATGAAGCCCTTGATGAAAAAACCATGAGCTATCAATTTGACCATCTTTCAGAAATTAGGAAAAGGAACTTATCACATCATATTGTACTGTATTTTTTTGTATTGTATCGAAACTTTAGCGAGCTATATGCATGCTTTCAACCAAAAATAGACCACCATCACAATACTGATAAAGAAGGGGAAAATGTGGGACGTCTAACATGCAAAAATATGAACTAACTAAAAAGTGCATTAGAAAGCCGAGAACAAACAATTTCCTTGTCGGTCAGTATCCAGGCGAGCTAGGGTACCAAAGAGTTCTTATATGGAGATATTCAAGATGGGATGAGTTTGTATTTGAAATGGGCGGAGTTTTTGGATTTGTATACACACTGGTCAATGTGTAAAGGATGGGTGCAATCAGATTGAATATTGTTAGTAAACTTCAAGCACGCATCAATATGATCAGTACACATTTTGTAAATTATAACACGTAACGTTACTTGGGAAACACGGTAATCATTGAGAGGCCACACCTCAGTAACTTGAAATCAGCCTTTATCAAAACAGGGAAAATCACAGTGGAGTGTTAACGGGGTATAGGGAAAACATATTGTTGAACAAAAGTTTCCATCACCGACAAATCAGAAAAGAGAGAATTTTCAGCTCGCTATTTAGTTTAGGTATATAAAGTTTACTTTAAAGTGTGACACCTAAGTAATTCACATGGCTGACCCTGCTCATCCACTTTCCCTGAATCTGCACATTGTCAGAGGGAGATGGGGAACTGTTGAAAGTAGAAATACATTCAAGGCATCTTTCAAAATTAAGATGAAGACCGGATAAAGTGGAGCACGTAACGAGTTGAGATGAGTTTGCGTTATATGTAGACGGAAAAAGAAATGATGATGTCCTCAGCATACTTAACATGTCATACAAGGAGAGTAATAGGTAAGTCACTGATATAAATCATAAAAAGATGGATGACAAGACAGCACCTGGAAGTACACCCGAACTATTGAGTGATGCCGTTGACTGTCTTCTTCCCAATTTTACTTACTGATATAATTGGGAAAAGTAATGAATAAACCATTCGAGATGCCAAATGAGGCAACCAAACATTTTGAGCTTGCTATGCAAAAGATAACGGTGCGCCGATTCAAAAGCGGAAGAATAATCATGAAATACACAGTGCACATATTTGGCTTTCTCGTTTAGGGACTTGCAGACAAAGTGAATTAGAGAAACGGTATCCACTGGAGAGCAGTTATATTTATATAAAAACGGATAAATGTCATCGGGGGTGGTGAGAGATAACTGAAGACGAGACAGAACTAATTGCTCCATCAATTTCAAACTAATGTAAGTGAGAGGACTTGGCCTGAAACGTTTCGCAATTGGGGCCGTTGTCCTTCCTTTGAGCATGGAAGTAATTCTCACTTAGCGCCAGCAATCCGAATTAGTTCGGAGTCGAGTAAAAGATTGGCTACGTGTGCAAAACTGTGAGAAAGTGGCACGGAACCGTGTTTATAAAGTGAAAAACTTAAGTTATCTGGCCCAGGTGCTGTTGATACCTTTGCAGAACGCATGTGTTTATTAATTTCAGTAGAGGTAATGAGTTCAAACGAAGATGGGATGTATGGGGAACACGAGTCAATATAACTGGTACATGTGTTAGGCAAAGAATGAATAAATGCAACATTTAGTTATTAAATATCAATAGAACTGGAGATCACTTTGTTCTGCCTGATTCCAGGCAACATAGATTTAGAGTTCGTCGTCCCAAGAACTGCTTAAGACAAAGGGAGTCCAAGTGTCTTATTTACTCTTAATCTTCGTTGCGTTTCAGCCCCATGCAACATTTAAATGCACTTTTCTTTTGACGACGAAGGCGTTGAAGAAAAGGTGGTGATATTCTGCCATGTTGAAAGAAAATAGTTTATCACAGGACAGCATATGCCAAAAATGCGCTTCAACACGTCTGTTAGAAATGTTATACTGGACAACCAGGTTGTGTTCAAAGGAAAACAATAGGCAAGTACTTTATCAGACTATGTTAGCAAGGCACTATCATCAGAGGAAAGTTCTCCCAGACGGCACATGGTGTGTTTAGGTCGAGAAAAACAAAAACGTACTGAGTATGAGTAAATCTTAGGTCTGGGGCCTAACTGGGAGAAATGTTTGGTAGAAAATGTTAGCGTGATTTGTGATTGTGTGATCTAGATGAAAGGTTCCTCTAGTTAGTTCAATAATCAGGTCACAAAGGTTTAGATATAATAGAGGGTGCAGTGGGTATCGTTTAAGTCACCAACTAGTAGGTGGAAGCTGTCAGCAAGAGATAGGACAATAAACCGTAAGAAATGTGCATAAAAGTGTTAATTTCTGATGACCTACAATGAGGTGGAATGTATAGATTAGTGTTGGCAATAAAAAAGCGGATAAATTTGGGGATACAGTCAACAATCAAGCTATCAATGCAATTTTGTGAATATTTAAAAAGTACTTCGGACTTGATACACTACTTGAGGTTGTTGTAGGTAATCACATCGCCTCCCAACCACTTCCTACACTGTTAACTATCCTGTTTGAAGCAGATCACGGAATTTTCCAAATCATCTTCAAGCCATGAATCCTAAAGACACAAGGCACAAGAGGTGCGAAATTCCTTTCGCTGGAGTAGGCAAATTCGGAAGTTTTCCAAACAATAAACCGACGTTGTTACTCACAATGGTAGTTACAATCATCTTGCTGGGAGTAGTGCGATCGACAGCAGTTTGCCAACCGGCAAGAATGCGTTTTCCGCGGTTGGATTATTTGTGCAATTGACTAGAGACTGGTACTCCAAACAAGGACGTATGATTTCTCATCACATCCTTAATTTTTAACATGAATTCTTTTATGTATATGGGTAAAGCACAAATATTGAGCAATTTGGCCGATGAGTTCCAGAAGACAACGGTGGGAGGAAACCCTAGCGCAGCTGTTCAAGGGACACGCTGCTCTGTCACAGATGTGAGCAGAAAAAGCAAAAGGGAAAGTTAGATTTGCAAGACAATACGGTAAACTCATACATTGAGTTACTAATGAAGTAGTATGGGAAAAAGGGTGATTCCGCGTTGTCAATGAAAACTTAACTTTTCCCTGCGAGTCCTCAAGATGCCAATTGGAATTGGTTTGAGATCATTTGCCACCATGAGTAAGTGTTGTTTTTTCTTGATCTCTCTGGATTCGAGGAACCCAGGGTAACGGACAGAATAGGATAATCTGCTTTGTACATTCCCTCCATCTTTGCTGTCGTAATTTCCATTCCGGAGAAACCTTGACTGTGCACAACTCTATAAATACAGAATTTTTCTCCTTTAGACAATACAGCTTTTCTAGCACTATTAAAAAGCATTTACATATTTTCGATTGTCTTTGACTGGAATCGCTAGGTAAGAGTCTCGTGGGTGACGATCCGATGATAGTATGGCAGACAAACAAAATAGCCACAGGAAAATCGGACATTTCGATGAATTTTTCGGCAGACCAGTTCCAGCACCCGTTATTGCAGCAACAGAAACTGATCGAATGTTTGACGCAGTGGCTTAACCTGCAAACAACAGATTCCATTCCGCATCACTTTCAGTTCAGTTTTATTGAAACGCCAGTCAATTTGATCACTGAATTTAACTATGATCCCGAAACAGGTCACACTTTTGAGGAATCATTCAAACGTTGGGAAGCCGTGTTCCGAACAGAGTTCGGTTGTCAGCACAATGTATGGAAAGTGCGCCTGCTGGTCCAGAAACTTGGAATCAACGAACACCCAGATTTGTTGACCATATTCTTCCCAAACAACCCAATTGACGGTTACGATGACATTTAGCCTGTCTAATTTCATCGGTGCTGTAGCAAGTAGTGCGATTATCGTTCACTCATTGAGGCAGGTGCGTCCGCGCGACTCAGGTTATCGATCGCTTGGATCTGACATCTTACTCCACACACCCGCTTACCAGACCATCGTTATTGTCGTTCACCGGTTGACACGTTGTTACGACAGCGCCCGTTGATAGATCGAATGGCCGTGGCTTTAGTGACCATAGAAACAAAAATGACCACATAGAAGTGCAGATTACAAAGATTTATTTTTGGTAATCATAAATAGTCATTTGTTTCAGCCTGGTCCTCCTTGGAAATCAACAAGCGCGCTGTTTTAATCAATTGTATACTACAGTAACCGGCCGGAAATCCGAGTATCAGCCAAGGCAAACAGTGTCAATTGATCCAGTACCTTTTGTGCTACTCCAAGCGAGATAACTTCCGGCGCATTCACTTCTTCACATTCATCATCTTTGAGACGCTTAGTTTGGTTTGAAACAGGGCGATTTCTTTTTCAAAAGGACATTCATGAATGGAGATCAATGGGTTCGGAGTTCAAATCCCGGATGAGACGGTGAATATGCACTACTGATGAGCTCTAGCAAGAGCGAAACTCGTCATACTGCATTTCCGTTGGCAGCATACCTTCTGAATATGGTCAACTTTACCACAGGAGTGGCACTTTGCATCTCTGAATCGAAAGTTGGACCGGAAATGGAATTGGCCACACGACATGCACTGATTGATATTCGTGTTTGGGGTCCTCTGGTCGCAGTAATTGATCTTCTGATTATGAGGACATTTGGACTGCATTCCGTGTCTATTGCTTCGTGAACTACTCTGGAATAATGTAGGCGACTCACGGGTTGCTGCTGCAGTGAGATCATCGTGCTGCTCACATATCCTTCGAGCATC